GTCCAGTATGAATGAAACAGACATTAAATGTGTTTATAGCGCTCAATAATGGCCGATCCATCCTATCTTTTTTTTTTTTTTTTTTTTTTTTTTAAAGTATGAATGCAATATGTTGCTCAAAGAAGAAAATGAGTTTTAATTTATCATCTAAACCTCCCAATTCATCTGAGCAAATAAGTAACACCACAACTTAAGTGATTTTAATGAAATTGATAACTTGAGTGTTGTGTGGTCCAGACTCCAGAGCATTGACCCTTAACCTTTGACATTTTTGTCATTCTTGGTATCAATATTTGTGAAAAGGTGCGTTAGTGTCTCTGAGAAATCCTGCTGCCAGAACTCTAAGGTCAGTATCTGCCCGGAGAGACAAAGTGATATGCTGTATACCTGGAGTCAAAGCTGCCTGGTTAATATCCTGAGCTCATTTTAATATTCCAGTTAGCAGAACAGGCAGGCAGAGAGACTTTTCTGGTCTAAATTGTAGCATTGGTGTAGATGTAGGCCAAGGTCGTACTGTGTGTGGGTGGGTGTGTGTGTCTGTGTGTGTGTGTTTTAAGGCCATCCTGCTAGATGGATGGATAAATGCAGTGTGTTCTTTTTCCACTCATTTTCTCTGTCCTCCTAATTCTCTGCCCCCTCATTTTGCAGCCCCACTCCCTCTTTTCTGTCACTTTTAAAATGGGTTTTCATTCATTTTTCAGCACTTTACACAGATACTGTGATAAAGAGCGACAGTGTCTTTACCCCAAAATGAAAAACTTTTCATTATTAGTCATCTGATGTTATTCCAATATGTGATTATATAGGGCTGCACGATTTGGGGAAAAAGTCTAATTGTAATATAATTTTTTTAATTTATAAAAATTGCAATTGTGTTTTAAAATACTATTTAAAAATCTGCAGGCTTGCTGTGTCTGTTTGTAGGGCTGCATAATTTGACCAGAAATCATGGCTATATATTTCAATATGGCTATAAAATAATGATAGAAGTTGTAGTAGTGGAAATTTTAGTAAACAAATAAGGAATATTTCTATTGTAATATTTCAAAATAAATAGTTGTAAATAATAATATTTTATCTTACAATACAGCTAAAAATTACAATACTTAATTTCTTAGACACTAAAAACACTGGATCATCTTATAAAGGAACACAGTGGCATGTTTCACTCTGAAACACAAAGCAGATACATTTAATAATGAATAAAATGTTCTTCATGCAGCTCACTAGTTCATAGTGAACATAGCTGTTAAGCCTCAAAATTATAAAAAAATAAATAAAAACTTGAAGCCTTGGTGATGGCAGTTTCAGAGTGGAGCAGGTTATTACATTGTGCTAATCAAAAAAAATATATATATTTGTGTAAGTATACATTTTTGATTTCATGTTGACTTGAAATGCATGAGCAGCATCTTACTCGATGCTTGTGTGTGTACAGCTCTAGTGAGTAAGTGTGTATGGATTTGTAGCTGGCTGCCTTCCCGTCCACTGCTGATGCGATTTATCTGCAGCACTATGAGGGTGTGTGTGTGTGTGTGTTAGAGACTCACATTGATAGTATGAACAATTCTTAGTGTACGAACATCACTGTGGCCCTCTTGTGACTCAGCAACATGAGTCAGTTGTGCTCTCAGACAGTCTCATGCCCCCTGTGATGTAATCAGCCCAGCTGTCGACACACTCTATACGAGAGATCGGATGTCTGCATTCAAACAGGGGGAGTTTGAAAGCTTAATCTTCCTAAATTTAGCCCACAGGTTCGTGTGTACGTTTTTCGTTATGGTGGTTAGATAATCATGGGTGTTCCTGGCCTTTCTAGATAATTAAACTTCAACGCCCACCCATCCAGTCTGTGTCATAGATGTTTGCTATTACTTTTTCCCTGAAGTTTCCCTAAAACACGTTAGGTCAAAGCTATAGGCTGTAAGAATTACATTTAATACCAATATTTTATAATACTGGTTATCCTGTAAAACCATCGTTGAACTATCGTTCAAAAGTTTGGGGTCTGTAATATTTAATAAAATGTCTCTTATGCTCACCAAGGCTGCATTTATTTGATTAAAATAAAGAAAAAAAAACATTAATATTGTAAAAATTACCTCTATTTAAAATTTCTTTTTTTTTTTTTTTATATATTTTAAAATATAATTTATTCCTGTGATGCAAAACTGGATTTTCAGCAGCTATTACTCCAGTTTTCAGTGTAACATGAACCATGATCAATAATGAATAGAAAGTTCAAAAGAGCAGAATTTATTCGAAACAGAAATTATTTGTAATATTATAAATGTCTTTAATATCACTTTTGATCAATATAATGCATTCTTGCTGAATAAAAGTATTATTATAGTATTATTTTCTTTAAAAATAAATGTTACATTTCTTTATGATTAGGCTGTTTATATATTTATATTAGGTTTAATATTGTTGTGATGCAAAATCGCTTTTGAGCAGGACAGCATGTTATTTATTATACAATGACAGGAAACGGCTGCGCGATATTGTTAGCTTTTATTTCGAAGACTTTGAACTGGGGAGAACTGTATTGCATTCATATCAGAACTCAAGGGAAAGTAAAACTATTTTAACCACAGCTCTTGCCAAGAGTCAATATTTTTGCACTGTCTTCTCTCCTCGTGAACTTAAATAAGACGACCCAAGCTTTTTGCATCAAGCCCAGCTGAGGCCTCAGGAATCTGACATACTAGAGGCACAGAAGCGTATTCCTCTGAAACCGAACCTCCTGCAGTCCTACAGGCCCACTGACACCAGGCAATGAGCCAATTCTCCTGATTCCAAGAAGACCAAAGCCCTGTAGCGTCTAGTCCGTAGGGACTAGGAACTCTGTCATACGACCTTGTTTAACTTTCTGTTAACTATAGTGTAGCTTGCAGTCTTTATTAACTGAAGTGATATCAATATGTGCTGCTGCTGTGTTTTCACAACTATAGGAAGCTATATGCATTCCTGGAAAATGATTCACTTTCCAAATCAACGGTTTTAATAAAATCTCGACCAGTGGTTAAAAGTTGACCGAGATCATGTAGACATTATAGCTTTAGATGGCACACTCACAGACCACCCACAGCTCATTCACTGACAAAAACAGAAGAAAAAAAAATGCAGCTGCAATCTGATTTGCTAGTATTTTTCTTCCATTTTGGTCACTTTCACCAACTGTTTCAGATAAACCTGCATCTAAACGGCTCATAAAACCAAAAAGAGCTGTGGTTGGTCACTTTAAATGATGGTCTTTTCTAGTTCTTGGACAGAATACGTTGTACAGTGGACCAGTCTTTATCCTGGTAGTCAAAAGCCTTGACATGTGAGACTTTGGTAACTTTAACAATAGGCATTAGCAGCAATGTAAACTAACCGTTGATATTATAGCGAAAATTATTGGTGGACTAACCATTTTCTATGTGGTGAACTAGTTTCTTCACATACTCCAGCCTGAAGTAACCCATGTGCTTAAGTAACCTTTGGTTTAAAGATGAGGACTAAGTTTCTGACTGAGATTCTTTGTTTACCTTATTTCAGCCGCCCTCATTTTTGAGATGACAAAATACTGTGGTTTTTTGATAGTGTTGAAAGGTGTAAAACCGGTTTAATCGTGTA